TCCTTTGGACTTAATCCAAAGGCACAATGCAGGCCCAGAGGAGATACCTGCATTTACTGCATTCTGAGACCACTCAGTTATTGTTCTCATCCCCTAAGAAATTACATTTAATATAAGTAGCACATTTGCATACATATCTACTTTGCATAGATATCTGTGGAATGTTAAATAAGGTAAAGTTAACACAGACATGTCACGCACACAGGTTGCTAACAGCATGCTACTCTTGTAAGAGCACAAGACTATCATAAATATTCTGGTTCAGAGGACTGAAATCATGTGTGCAGTTGCAGGCCATATATTATAATCTGATTCATACATGTATCAAGTTGCACCTGAAAACCAGTTAGGTTTCTCATTCCCTTTGATTTATTTAGAAAGCTGTTTCAGAGCCTTCTTTCCTCCGAGAATTAGATGTTTTTTCCCTTCCTTCTTTTTCAATTCTAAACTTATTAATGGATACTTTATTTTCAATGAATTTTACTCTCCTTTTACTTAAATCATTACTCTATCACTGCAGCTTTTACCCATTTGTATTTATTTGTAGAGAGCACACACATCCTTACTGAACCTTTGCTTTGCTAGAGAAACAATGTTTGAGTTTAGACTCCCCCTGTGATGTGAGCAATCAATTTGCCTAACTATCCCATGAGCCCTCAACTGCACCTGTTTCCAGTTTGAATTCAACCTTCTGGAATGTGATTCATGGGAGGTATTCAGCAGTCTTCCACATGGGATCCTGCAAGTGCTCAATGACATTAATACTTTCCTATCATCATTGCAAACATTTACTCTGATATCCCAGGATTTACACCTCACTGTTTAGATATCTGCTTCATTATCTAGGTGGCTCACAACAACACTGCCAGAAACAAATTTATTCAATCTTTCTCTTCTTAAACTGCATCAAGAATTATCCTTATTTTACAGTGAGCAATTTTACTGGTCACAACTTCAGCCATGCATATTATACTATTATATATCACTTAAATTCATTTCCTTATTTAAACTCCCCAGTACACGTCATAAACAATAATACCTTTCATTCTACCACTGTTAATAAAGCATTAAACAATACACACTTTCCATCCTGACTGTTCCTTCTCAACTGCAGTCATCTCGTTTTGGCTAGACCCTCTGCATTAACATTTAAGTTAATTACTATCTTGCTCGGTTTTATTTACATCATGCAAAAAAATATACCACATTTCCTTAATAAATGAAACCAAAGAAAGACATCATGCTAAATCTACTGAAAGTATATTAATCCATGATAAACTGCATTTTATTTTAATCCAGTTCATTATAAACAAATAAATCATGAAAGATGTAATAGAAGATATGAAGGGAGTGGCTATTGATGGAGCAAGGTTCTCCTATGTAGTAATGGTAAGTTATGAAAACACAAAATGTTTGTATATACGTAGTAGTTGGGGAAGCTTGTATGTATGAAGAACAGCATGAATCATCTTAAGTGATGCAACTCAGAAGTGTGATAGCTTCTGAGGACAAAAGTCATGTTAAAATCAAGAGAATTACCATAAGGATAAAATCTTCTTCAGTATTATTAATAATGTTCACTTGACAAATAGCATTATAAATTTAATTCCCCACATATTGAAGGAGATATTTCTGCTTTTGAGTATTTGACACTCATATACATTCAACTTTTCTGTTTAAAAGTAATTCATGATCTTGTTTTCATTCCTATTCGTAAACAATAACATTAGCAGAAACATGTTTCTATTTTTCAGATGAACTGAATTTATATAAGAGTGCTCCATAATGCTAATGAATTTATGAGTGGATACATCAAATATTATGAAGATATCATTTGAAGTGCTCTAGATTACAGTTATCTTGGTAGTTTATTTTTATAAATATCAAGAATTTATGTTGCAATTATGTTGAAATCTAAAGATGGTGGCATAGTAGTGAATATGGATTCCAGCAAGCTATCAATCAACAAATATGTTACAGAAGAAAATTAATTTTCCTACAGAACACCAGACAAGTCTTGCATATGAAATTAGGAGAAATGTTGAAGATATGATGTTTCTGAGAATGAAAACAGAGAATAAGAAAAAAAACTAGCAACACATTCAGATTAAAAAACAGCGCGACAAGGAGAAGTGAACATTTTTAAAATATGCTTCTGTTCACCTGGCAGTCATTTTCACAATACTTTATTCCCATAAAGGGAGTAAACTGAGCTCTGGCTCCGCCTTTTCCCTTCAATAATGAGCCAAGCATGCAGTCCGTACAAGCAGAAAAAACAGTAGCACACATTTTAAAATGTTATAGTAATTTGCACTCTACCTAGCCCCCTAGAATGGGAATTTAGCATCAAAGTTTCCTTTCTAGGGTTGCCAACAGGTGGCACAGCTATATATGAGTTAGATCTTTGGCCAGTGTTTATCAAAACTGAGGAAGAGGGAGGGAACAGAATTTAAACTGCAGAGAAACTCAAGTGAACCTGATTACTACAAGCAGTTATGCCCACTATCTAAAAATATTTCCCTATTACACCTCTATACTGGTGGCAGTTGCTGTACCAGTCAACCACTTTGTGCTTATACACACACTGGAAAGTAACAATAAAGATTTAACTTCTGTTGTTGCAATCAACAATAAATTTCTATGTTCGTCATTTTTCTGTTTTACAATAATATATTCTCTAAGAATTTAGAATTAATCTTGGAAACTGTTCTATAATTTAAATCAAATGAGAAAGTGATTTCTAGTTAATAGAACTCGCAAGGAAATCTTAGAGTGGGGTAAGTGTAAAATATAACAATATGCTTCCTTCTTTGGCTGGTCATATCACAGATATCTTATTGTAAGCATTAGAGAAGCACTTAAAGGTTCATAGCAAAACTTAACTTCATCATATTCCAGATGCAGCATAACCTCTTGAGAAAGTATGTGCTTACTCAGTGGCACCGAATTTCTCTGTAAAAAAGTAGTTCATTGATCACTGACCCTGATGTATAATACAAAACTCGAAACTTGCATCCTAAAATGCCACTGTTAAAAGTGCTATCAAAGAAAGAGAAGAAGAGAGAGAAGAGAAAGGAAGTTACAGAACCCATTGCAGGTTTCTCAGTCAGTAAGAGGTGGTATGCTAACAAAGCCATAGTAATAGTAGTTCCCATATTTCTTTTTCATCAGTGGATAATTATAAATTTAATTCAGATAAAAGCTGCCATGGATTCTTTATCTCTTAAAAATAATAAGAATATTTACTAAAAAAAAAGATCATAAATTTCATTGCTTCATTATTATTATTTAATAATATATTGATTATTGATAGACATATTGATAATAATATTGAGATTATTATTTAATCTCAACTGCCACTTTAATATTCAACCATTCAGCAAATATGTGATTGCTACTTAATAAATCTCTTAAGATTATTCTCTTGGAATAAAGTTTAGCATGCCTACTATTGCATCTAGTGTCACACAATAATTCAGAATGTTTTAGAGCCCAGTGTGAGTATCAGTTACTGCTCCTGTAAAGAATACACTATCCATCTCCACCAGCTTGCTCCCACTTGGTCTCGCTATGTTAGAAGTCTAGGTCTGCAATTGCCCCTACAGTACATGCAGCGGTGGATGAAATAAGCAGAAATTTCATGCCCACATAGGTTCATTAACTGTGTTATATTTTTCTAATATGGTGTTTTAGGATATTGGAGAATTTAGGCATAACTCGTTCATTGTGTACAAGTGACAATTCCTCTTTAATAGCTTTCTCCACTATCTACAAATTAAAATTCATGCAAATATTGGAGCATTCTAAACCCCTCCTGATATGGTGAGAGAGGTAAGTGCTAACTAAAGCCATCGCCGTGTAAACAATCAGCTGCATTTCAAGCACAACTCTTCACTTTAAATTTGAGGTCTTGATTCTCATGACAAATTGATTAATAGTTGTATTCCATTCTTTTTATTATTATTACAACAAATCTTTGCCAAATTCTGTAGAGAAAGATGAGTTCTGGCAACAGAACTGTGAAGGCTGATAAGTCATCATCAGTAAGAGATATTCTATGCAGCTTCCTTTCCATTCTGGCTGTTATCTTTCCCCCGAGGTAAACAATATTTCTAACAGATCTTTCCATGTATCCTGACAATTCTCTCTAACAGGACAGAGCTGTGCTATGTCCTGACTGGAACAACAGCAATAATCATGAGATTCCTTAAATCTCCTATTTGGCATCAAGAAGCCCTGTTCTTCCTATCTGATCACTAGACTAGACACTACTTAATAAGTAAACGTTTGAAAACATGCAAATTCTTTTTTAGTTTACCTACCAGTGTCTAAGAGTACAGAAAGGGAATAAGAAATCAGAGACAAATTTCTTGTCAGTCGAATAACTTGCCAATGATTCTATGTGAGAATCTTCCAACAGTTATTTAATTCCAAATGCACAAGACAAATTGAGCTCTGAACTCTCCTGTCACCACTAAGAAACGACCACGTAACTGTCCCAGAAATAAGAAAACAACCACCTGGTCAACAAGAGAAAATATTCATTTGAGGAGAAAAAATGACCGGAGAGCCACTGAGAAATACGAACAGCCAGAAGCAGAAATACTTACCAATGCTTTTCAGTACCTCTGAGAACTAGTAATTCTTTTCACACTGAAGAAACATTTGTGTGGACAGCTTTGATTTACCCATTATTAGAAAGAAAAGGCTGTTCCCCTAACATGGTTTTCCAGGATGACTGTCACTGTAAATTTCCTATACATGTTCCTTTTACGGAGACTACAAAATAGTGACAACTTTAAATTATTCCAAAGTCAGCAGACAGATGTGATTCTCAGGCATCAAAATCTTTTTCATTTCTGATACAGTTTTACAAGATATCACAAAATTATGTTATTAAAAAAAAACCTGTACATTCTACCATCAACTTCTCTCATCAGTAGTAGAGACCAAGTAAATAAAAATGCCACTCAATGGTAGACAAATAATAAAAGAATTACCTTTCTAACTCAGCAATTTTCTTATCTTTGTCATTCTTCTCATTCTCTACTTCCTTGAGAATTTCTAGAAGTCTGTCAACCTCAGCCTGAGCTTTGCCACATTCTTCTCTATAGTATGATGCCTCCTTGTCAAGCTGTTTCATTCTGTCTGCAAATTCTGGATTCATCCGTGCCTCCTCTTCAGCCTCATGAGCCTTCAGAATCAATATTTTTAAAAAGAAAGGAAAAAAAAAGGATGACAATTTAAATCACTGTAAGAGTTCTCATTTTCAGTCTTGGAGTTCAGATTTTCATTAAAAAGGATTACGGGTATTTCTGTCAGATAACATTTTTCTACATAAGCCTTATAAAAAGGAATTCAAGGCTCCCTGAAGTCTAAAATTACTTTTATAAAAATTCTATCTTAACAAAGCTTCATCCTGAAAAGGGAGATTAGTTATTAAACAGAATGTTTGCGTGTCTTACATATCAGCATGACCATACTTTGAGGGTCGGGCTTTTTACTTTAAAAAAAATTGTAAATTATTTAAATCACTTAAATTCTTTCAAATATGATCTCTTTCTCCGTACATACACCTTGTCCATGTGTATGTACAGAAATGTACATATTGTAGTCTGTGTCACCAGATGTTTCAAATTCAGTTCAATACTAATAATCTAAAAGGAAGAAATTTATTCTAAGTGGAGCTGTCTATAAAAGACAAATTGATAAACTAAAAGGTTTCATTTATCTGACATTTTATCCAATAATCCTTTTTTTCTTTCCCCATCATTAATACTTAACCTGAAACATCAGAAGAACAAGCTTATTGGTGAAAATGGCACAAACCTGGCAAACACATGCATGGATGGGTGGCAGTTTCACAGACAAGAACAAACGAAATGAATACAACACTGCAGAGTCTGATCTTACTCCCATCAAATCTAATGGCAAAAACCCAATTAAACTTCAATGGGAGCATGATCAGGCATCAAGTGCTTTAAACTCTTGACTGGAATAATCACAGACAGATGGAAAAACAACAATGCACTGCAATGCTTAGCCTACCCCTTGCTTCCCATTATTCCTAATTGGCATCTTGAAAGAGCAGGCAAGGAAAAAACAAGTCGTTTAATGCAGTGCACACTAAACATAGAAAATTCAGATAACATTTTTTTAATAAGAGAATTTTACAGAAACTCAGGACATTTAGAACTGAAGGACCTCCAACTATCTTATTACTCATCGAAGATGTGGATGTAATTATCTTCTTAATTTCAGACAATAGACTATGCAAGCAAGCAAGGGAAGAAATGCAAATCAAAATTAAACATGCATGTTTTAGAAAGAATTAATATAAACTACAGCTATTAGAAGATGGCTACAGCTATTTGCAATGGCTAGAATTTTCTGTATAAATAAAGAACAGGTCTGGCTTTAGTATAACAACCAAAAAATGAAAATAGTGGGAAGAAACTTAGGAGTTTTGCATGTAACATATCATTTAAGCATGAGGATAATAAGAGAAAGATTTTACATTTTAACCTCGCTGTAAGATTCTTATTCAGAATAAATATTTAGTTAACAAAGTATGTCAACAGAAAGACATGAGACTCCTACAAAACTTACTGGCCTTGCTCTTCAAATGTTCTGTTTGGGATAACAATACATGCTCCAGCCCTGAATTGTGTGAAGATTCAGGAGTTTCTTAATACAGAGATCATTTCAAGGTAATATCCATAGAGTATTTTAATTATACTGTTAGGGTGAGAGCAACAGCTTCTTTTCTACTCTCGTATATCTTCCCACTTAATAATGAACTTTGGCTTTTCTTAT